CTTGTTCTGTCTTTCTTGTTTGGATCATTGATGTGGGTCGCACTTAATGAATTCATAACTTATGGGTTAATCATTTCCTTTTATAAACAAAGCAAAGGCTTTGTGTGTGCGTGTGGGATATTACAATGCCTAAAAAAGTACAATTTCCAAAGGACTCAAATGTATGCATTTACTTGCACAATTCAAAGGTGATGAAATGAGTTAGATTCAAATTTCGATTCTTTTTTCAAATGGGATTCTTTTTCTCAGACTGTAATGTATATAAAAAAACAAATACAACTAAAAGCAACTATATTGATAAGATCTCACGTCGATTTGAGAGAAGAACGAGTGTCAATAAAGACGTTGGACTTCAAAGGAAGGTGTAGAAACTTCTTCCTAGTAAATCCGTTTTAAAATTTTTAAAGAGAAGCTCAAAAGAAAAAGTTCAAAGAAGACCATATTTGCTAGCGATAAACTTGAAAGGTAAAAAATCGAAGTAGAGAACGAATAACGAAATGAAAGAGAGAGAGATGAGATACTCAAAGGCATGATGAGAAGAATCTGTGTAATGATTATGGACTGACAACAAAAACACCATCATACCTCAATTACAACAATAAACTAACAAACAAGAAGAACACTCAAATAACTTCATCATTCATGTAAACTTACTGTTTAAAAAAATCAAAACTTGGTGATTTAACAGTAAGAACATTAGATTATAAGCATAACCCACAAATCCAAAAAGGAAAAAGAGGAGAAATTTAACCTTGTTCAATGGGTAAAAAAAAACTCGAACGGCTAACAATGAGAGAAACAATTGGGGGGAATGAAGCCTGGTCCGACAACACTATAACGAACCAAAATTAACGTTCGAGAAATCGAGAATGAATTGAAATATGGATCAAAAGAAGTGTACTCGAGCCAGACAACATTCCCCTCAAAAGAAAAAGCAAAAAGTTAAAAGCTCTCATTTTTTTTGATCTTCAAAACCCTAATTATCCATTTCTCTCTCTCTTCTTCAAGGGGAAAGAGAGAGCTAGAGAGATGAATGGATAATTGTGAGAAAGAGTTGTGTGTTTGGAAGGGTTATAAGAAGAGGAAGTGGAAAGGCAAGGTTGGACTTTAACCCCACCACCTAACCACTCAAGTTCGATTCTCGATCCAACAGATGGACGATAGTACAAGAGCAATAAACCCGTTATTAAGAAAAAAAAGCTAAAAATGATACGTGAGTAAAAGATGAATATTCGAGTGAATCGAGACCACCTCCAAATGCAAACAATTCTAAAGATCGAATGATTAAGAAAGACTTCAAAGAATTGATTTTGTGTAGCTTTTTAAACCGTTTGAGGAGTTCGAGGAGATGACCGACAAAGGCCCCAGCTCTTTCTCATACTTTTTTAATGTCTTTCTGGTCAGAGGGTCAACCCTGGCTTTCCAACCACTGTCTCATTCAAAGTTGGGCCAAACTAACACACCATTTCCACCATTGCCAGTTCATCTCCACGTTACAATTTATATTTACCCTATTACATAATTACATAACACTTTCTTTATTTATTCTACCAATTTAAATATAATATTATTCGACTTTGAATTTCTTCATCTAAGTCAAGAGAAATTAGCGTTACGGTGACACTCAGCTCTATACCTTTATGAACATCTCTAGTTCAAGATAATATTGTAAGTGATTCTCATGCGGACCGTATTTATATTCGCTTCATTGTGATCAATTCTTTTATGTTCGATTGGAGTGGATCTATCTCATTTCAACGATCTCAACACGCTTCAACAGGGACAACACCCAGTTTGACCGATTTCTGTCGTTAATAATAAAGACACAAATAACTACAAAATAAAAAAGACGTTTTAGACTAAGTAGATGATTCGAATCAAAAGATTAAAGTCTTCGATGTTTTTTTCTTTCCCCCTTAGCACGTGGGTCGGTTTTATTACCCTTTTTTCCTCTTTCTCTATGTAATCTATGATTCAAATCAACGTTTTAGACTAACTAGCTTTTAAGAGTAAAAGGAACGATAGCGATCTAAGTACAAGTTCCTTTCTTAAATCTATAATGGTCATGGTGGTTAAGTTGAATCCTACCACAAAGTCTTAGTAGTTACCATTCCATCGTACTACCTACGTACCTAAGCAAGATCTCAATCTCACTTCAACTACTTTTGTTCGAGATCGTAGAATATTAAACTAGAATGCTAATAAATGTAGACCTAACTTAGTTAAATCTCTGGCAATAATATTACATTATAAAAACGTTCATTCTAATTAATATCTCGATATTATATATATTGAAAAGTGCTCCTCACCTTTATATTTTGTTTAAAATTAATCATATTTTTTTAAAAGCTGCACTATCATCCGTCAATCATTTATAGAAAATAATCGTGAAACACCATTTTTATAAATATAATTTATATGAACGTTTAGATCAGATCGTGATTGATATCGTAACTTTTAAAATAATAAAAATAAAGAAGAGAAGGAAAAGTCTATTTTGAAGATCTTGAAAAAGTGTTTTTGACAGCAACTACCTAATTAACCACATGTCAAATTTGCCTTCATAACATTTATTTCACTATTTTATTTCTCTTTTTCCAATATTTAGTTAAAAGTTATTTCAATTTTCATTTATCGCAAAATTTTCTATTTTTTCGATGGAATTACAGCGAAGATTCTCACAGGGAATTTGCAAGATTCGGTTCCTCGAGAAGGTTTTTACTCCGTTTTTTATATTAATTTAGAAAAAAAAATATTCCTTCTAAATACTTTTATATATAATTTCTTACTCGATCTAATGAAAAATATTTTTTATGATCTCTTCCTTATTCTCCATTTAAATGAGAATTTATAAATATTACGGACTGTCCAATCAAATTAGTTATTTGCTAACGTAATTATTGGCCATATAATAATAATCTAAATACTCAATTATTCATTTCATAATAACAAATTATTATTATAAGATCAATAATTAGATATGGCAAATAATTGACAATAATTGAATTGAATCATACCCAAATCAGATATATAATAAAATTAAAATTTTAAAATATATGCTTTCAAGTCCAACGACAATTATTAGAAAATAATAAATAAAAAATTGACCCCACAAAAATATATATTTTAAAAATCTTGTAGCCACTAAAGTTTGACCACTCAAGCTTAGCCATGTTCATGCCTACTAAAACAGCTGGTAAAATAAATCCATAATCTTTATTTATTTAATCAGTATTGGACTTTAGTGAAAATAAAACAAAAAAACATTTTTCTTAAATAAAAATGTGTTTGATTAGCTATTTTGACTCTATAAACTATTTCTCGACGATTAATAATATTTAACACGATTTAGAACTAATGATGGGATAATTAAGTTATGTTGACCTATAAGAAATATCATAGAAGAATATGAATTTCGGTTGAGCTGAACTTAGGAATGATCAACCATTATGAACTTAGGGTACCAAGTACCTATGAGCTAGGTTAGATGAAATTGTTTGAAGTACGGTCATGTTTATGTCTGGTGAGACATCATAATATGTTAGACATGAAATACATAAATGAAATGTCATGATATAATTTTTAAAGAAGGTACGATCTGGGGGCAAGTCGAGGCGAGGGATTCTCAATTTGACTAGATATTGGACCAAATCGGGGATTCATTTTGGGTCCCTGATCGGGGATGTGGGACGAGAAGGGTAGTCTACGACTATCCCTAAATTTTTTTAATATATATATATATGTAGGGTTTTTTTTTTTTTTCTAATTTAATTTCAGTGTTACATTGTTATTCATATAAGATTTCGTAATATAATAATTATGATGGTTATCGTCTGATAAATGTGCAATGTTTCTTTTAAAAAATCAACGGTAGGAATAGACACCACGTGGCGAGCATACAGTAGTCGCTCAAGGGAAGCTCATAAAGCAAGGCCCCGCCCCGCAACGTGTCCAATTTTAATCAATGTCTCATCAAATCAGCCACTCATATTTTGCCACGTCATCGACAAATTATTATAAAATGACGTGTCGGGATTCTAAGTTTGACTTGGGCATGTGGCGACATGCCGTTGGCGGTCTTGTGACAGGTAAGGGGTACTTATCCTTTGCCAACTCATCTGATTCGTTCTTAATTTATTATTATTATTTTTTATTTTCAAAAAACTTTTGGGATATTAAAGAAAATAAATGTGTGGGGCACCTTGCAATGGTGACTCATCCTAATCCTCCCAATATTCTTGCTTTTTTCTCAATTAATTACAAAATCTAGAACCAAATATTTTTGTCATAAAATTAATAATATTGAGGCCAAATTAAACACTAAATCCAAATATAAATATTAATATTAAAATATCATAATCGAAAATAGCCAACCAGTTATCTAATTATGTATTGTCTAACGAGATATGAGTCATATAAGTTTTAGTGGAAGATGATGGAGGAGGTAGCGTCTGCCTCACCTTATCATGATTAAATCGATAGCAAAGAAACTGTGGTTAGAATAACTAGAATTCTTCAATCGTAAGGTTCTTTTCATCGAGATAGGCTCACCAAGAGCTAGACCTCATGACTCTAATGATTCGAGGTGTTCGATGAAGCTTACCTTCGAGGATCATTCATTGGGAAGAGTCAGGGGAATCTAATGATTGGATAATCTAAGGTTGAGATTTCAAGTGATTATATAGAGATGCTTATCATAGACACGTTTTACCTATACATTAAGTGAATGAATGAGCTACTCACTAAGCATTTTTATTTTCATAGATACCATTTATCCTATACATAGGGTAATAGAATATTCCGAAACAACAAAGAAAATAGTGGTCATCCCCCGCCGAGAATGAAATTCGGGTCTGTCAAGGACCCCCCACAAGTCTTGGATTAAATCATTCACTCTCGTACCACCTGGTTTTGGGATCTTAAGCAGCATGCAAACTGACGACGACGACGACGACGACGACGAATATTCTCCTCCAGAATCCATGAGAAAGAAGAGCACAAACAGAACAAGGTTCGAACAGATCAAATCACTCGAATCAATTTTCGAGTCAGAGTCAAGGTTTGAGCCCACAAAGAAGTTGCAGCTCGCCGCGCAGCTGGGGTTGCACCCACGCCAGGTTTCAATATGGTTTCAGAACAAGCGAGACTACAGCGTTTTACTTGCTAATTACAACACTCTGGCTTCCCGCTTTCAAGCTCTCAACAACGATAACCAAGCGTTGGCTGCACAGGTATTGACATTCTGCCTTCGTTTTTCTTGGACTTTCTTTCTTGGAAAAGGTTTTACAATCAGCGAGCACACCGCACTCACGATCATAGGTAGTAATGGCCAGCCAGTAGGTCGTTTAGGCATCCAGATTCAGAAGCCTGCTTAGAAATGCCCTCGCTTTGGCTTCGTCTTGTGACATCAAACCGTGGCGTATGATTTTGGTATAGAGCAATGTGAGATCGAGCGAAGAGCTTCAATGCGCGCCTTCTTCATAATTTAGGGGTCTAATGTAGCGTGAGCAAGGGAGCTTCTCTTTGGTTCCACTTGTCCATATTTTCCCTTCCATCTAGGGGAATCCGGGCTGGATTGTTTTGTGCTACCGTCAAGCTTGTCAAGTAAATGCGAGAGGAATGAACAAGATAGGGCGCTAGAGCTCATTTCGTGATAATGCTAGATGGAAAAGAAGGCAAAATAGTTTTCGAGTATGTTTGATAGTGGCATCAAGTGACGTTTTTTCAATCCTAGAGTAGCATAAAAAAAATTTCCAAAGCTACAAAAAAAAAAGAAAAAAAAAAAAGAGGAAGTTCTCGACTGAACTAGGTGTGAACTATTTGAGGAAAATCTCTCTTTAGTAGGACACGTTTTAAAAATCTAGAGAGAAAGCCGGAAAGGAAAAGCTCAACAAAGATCATACATGCTAGCAGTGAAAGCTGTGTTACAGTAATTCACTTGGAACTCATTTTGGATACAACCCATTAATTGATCTTCATTCAACTTCATATATCTGGCGAGTCTGGTGAGTCAATGGTGTTAAATCAAGCACAGAAAGTTGAATATTGTAGAACAAAAGACAAAGGAAAACAGGATAATGAATGAACAAGACACAAATGAACTGTTTTTAAATTATCTACTCAGAAATTAGCAAGAGGCAATGGCAGAGAAACCCGTAATATCAATGTCTTCAACATAAAGTGAGTAATTGAAAATCTCGTGGCATTTTTGGTAGGAAGCTAATGATTACTGCTTTTTGCCATAGAATTGCAGATAAAATGCAACGCCCATAATCAGCAGGGGAACCAGAATTTGCAGTAGTGTTAGCAAGGATCCTGAAGATTCAGCCGACGACGTCGTTGCTTTTACCGATTGGGATGCGGCTAGTCGATAATCGATCGGCTTTGGGACCGTAGACATGTCAACATTGCCAATGTAATACTTTTCCATTTGCTCTATTGCAGATAGACTGTGACCCACATTTTCAAAATCATCTGTTGCATCTTTCTCTGCATAAACTCAACATTGTTTTTCCAATCATTCATAGCTTGGTGTAATCATTTTTAACAACCAATCGAGATATGAGCTGAAACATACCAGCAGCTAATAATAACACTTCATCGCCTCCAGGATGTTCTTCCAGAAAAGAGGTCACATCATATACCTAACATCGGAATGCACAATAATTACTTCGTGGCAGAGCAGTAAAACACGACGACTATATAAGGAATAGGGAAGTTATCTTGTGGAGTGATTCAAATCACGAGTTTAGAAACGAGTTTTCTTTACTCTTGATCTTGATCATCTAGTTAATCTGTTCCAAAACTTTCCCTTAAGTTGATTCCTTATCGTTTTTGGAGTTTTTAGATCTTGTTAGATCGAATCCAAAAAATTTGATATGAAGAGCTCTGATAAAACTTGGCTGACGATGTATCCCCACTAAACATCCTCACGTTCCATGCTTAAAATTTAAAACAAGGATTCCGCAAAGTATTACTCTCTACTAAGCCTAGGCCTTTCTAGGCCTTAAATTCTGCTTCCACGAAATAGGAGCTTAGAGGAATAAGTTCCTGTCTGTTTGAGTACAATATCTATATTAGTTGCTCCAGAAATAAAGGATATCAGTCTCCATAGTCCTAACTAATAGAAATCTAGAGTTGCAGCAGACTTTTCTGTGCATTCAGCTTCCTATCTACCATAAACAATTTACCCCTAGTTCAAGTACTCTACAAAGACCATACGTCCTGTCTCTCACCCTTCTTGTGAGATCTCAGATAAGTTGAGAAGGAGAATGAAACATTTTTTATAGGAGTGTGGAAACCTCTCCCTAGCAAACCCGTTTTAAAAACCTTGAGAGGAAGTCCAAAAGGAAAAGCTCAAAAAGGACAATATCTGCTAGCAGTAGGCTTGGGATGTATAAATGGTATCAGAGCCAGACACTAGGTGGTGTCCCAGCGAGGACGCTAGCCCCAAAGGGAGGTGGATTGTGAGATCCCACCTTAGTTGAAGAGGGGAACAAATCGTTCCTTATAAGGGTGTGAAAACCTCTCCCTAGTAGACGCGTTCTAAAATTGTGAGGCAGACGGTGATACGTAACGGGCTAAAACAAACAATATCGGCTAGCGGTGGGCTTGGGATGTTACAAATGGTATTAGAGCTAGACACCGGGCGGTATGCCAGCAAGGACGCTAGGCCCTCAAGGGAGGTGGATTGTGAGATCTCACCACAGTTGGAGAGGAGAACGAAGCATTCTTATAAGGGTGTGGAAACCTCTTCCTAGTAGACGCGCTTTAAAACTATGAGGCTAATGGCGATACATAATGGGCTAAAACAGACCATATCTACTAGTAATAAGTTCAAATCTCATATTGGTCATCTCCCTACGATGTTAAACCTAATCAAATGTCATAAAGTCAAACGGTAAGTCAGATGCGAGTTCTAACTCGCGGAGATATCAAAGAGCAATAATCATAATAGAATACACAATCATCAGTTTCTTAATCACCCATCCCTCTATCTACTGTTATATAAGTCTAGAGTTCCAGTAGCAGTTACGATTGAGTTCAGAGAAAACCAAATTTCGATGTGGAGATAAAAAATGAAGAGAGATTATGATATCAGACCTTTCCAGAGATTATAAGCCAACAATCCCGCTGGTGATTGTGTTTAGCCACTTCGTCGAAGACAAAAACCTTAGGATCCGAATCCATTTCAGCTGAAATGCAAACAAAAGTCAAGCTCAATCCACACTGAAGCAATCGATTAAATTAGAAAATCAGACGATTCAAATACAGAAGCAATGAGGAAGAAGATGAATTTCTTACGGATTAAGCGTTGAAGGGAAATTGGAGAAAAGACCCAAATCAGCACGATTTCTTCTGGTAATGACAACCAGCCATTTTACAAGGCTTTTATCTGGCCGGCTTGGTGGAGATAAAAAACGCCCAATGAATTTGTTGCGAGAATTTCATTTTAGTCCCTGCTTTTGTAACTTTTTGCCAAGAAGAGCCCAATATTTTCTTTAATTTCGTCCACGTGATTCTTGATTAAAACGTGATGTATGGCTTAATTATTGTATTACACGTGACATTGGTTAAGGTGATGCCTACAAATTGACTGAATATTTGCATTATTTTACTGTATTAAATATATAATTAATGCTCAAATTTTGTTTTTTAAAGTTTAAAATGGTTTTAGTTCAACGTAATACTTGTAATAACTCAAAATTATAAACGGAAAAAAAAAATTGTCCGACATTTGTTAAATTGAAAAAGTGGAGAATACATTTTCAAACGGCTCTAGATCGACTTCTTGATGGATTCGGCTTAGCTTTGATATGCTTGGACCCTTTTATATTAGTTTCAACTTTTTTGGAGACTTTAAGGTTAATATGGTTATTTTTTAAATTATTTTTTTTTACAAAATTAGGTTTATATGACTTACTAACTTAGAATTAAATTTTAAGAAAGGGCATCTAGTATCCAAGGAATAGTCCGATGAATTGAATGATGTAGAATGATATGTGCTATGTAGCCCCTCAATGTGCCGTATTTTATGAATTATGTTACAACATATGCTATTGATATGTCATGCACGACATGTTAGCATGATTGTTTTCAAAACTGTGAAATGTTGTCATGCCAGAAATGTGTTCATGAAAATGTTTATGAAAGAAGAATGTACGATCTGCATATTATATGATTTGAAGTTACTGGGACCTCATGTATTTTTGTATATTTGTTATTAATTAGTATGGATACGTATCTTACAACATTTATGTTCACCATGATTGTATGATATGATATTGTGTACACCTCAATACTATGTGCCTTCCTTTCCCATTGTGGCTTTTGACAGTGTGAGTGTTCGCTAGCTGAAGTGCAAGTCCAAGGGTATGTATATGCCCGCATATGCCTACCTGGTGGGTCCATGTTCGTATACGTGGGTCATGTGTAGAGAAGTACTACACATCCAGTTTTAGCTCAAAAAGCAAAGTTCACTGATCGCATGCATGAAAGAGAGAGAGAGAGAAAGATCGAGAAACCTTATTGTCGAAAATCGTGAGCTTTAGACCAACTACACACGAACCCACTCAAGATAAGCCACACAAAACTCACAATTGATTGATTAAATGAACATATACAAGACAACCACAAGTTTATATGACCGACTTATGTACACGTGATGACATAATAAAATGTTGGAGCATGATAATGAAGGACGAAAGAGACAAATGACATCAAAAAAAAAAAGACCGAGAACAATAGAGATTTAGGTTGTATTACCTCTTAAACTTCATTTCTTATCTAACTCGATAAAGGTTCGATCATGTATCTAAAGTTATTTTCATATATACCCCTACAATTGGAGCTATTTCTAAGCAAGCATCAATAATGTCTTGGATTTTAAATTAATCGAAATTATTGAAAAATAGTATACTTTACAAGGGTAGTTTTGATAAGGCGATAGTATTAAGGGGCATTTAAGAAAATATAATTTGTCGTTTAGGACACGTGTCGTTTAGCACGTGCAGCACGTGGTTAGTTTATATATATTTTTAACACAATCTACGACTTTTTAACAATATAAATATATATATATTTTTAAATAAAGCAACCTTTTGTTTTATTCCCAAACATTGGGACATTTTTTTTTTCAATTTTTTAATAGATCTAAATCTTTATGTTTTATATTTATTGTACTAATAAAATAATAATAATTTATTTATTTAATGTCGTAGATCGGAATCTTCCTACTTTATATTTATTTTACTAGTTAGCTTATACAATAAATATATATATATATATATATATATATATATATATATATATATATATATATTTATTTATTTATTTATTTTGAAATTTAAAATAAATTTTAAAGATAATTTAAAGCCATTAAAAAATTAGACAGGATCCTATTGAATCAAGATAATCCACAATAATAATTATTATAATAATAAAAAGAGATACCACAAAGCTTAAGAGAAGTGAAAAACATGGCTTTGAAATGACTCATTTACAACCTTAAAATAGGGAAAATAAAATAAAATAAAGACCAAAAAAAGGAACTCCATTGATGGGATCTCAAGGAGAAGCAGCTGCAACCAAAAAAGAATATTCTTAAATATTGAAATGAATATTCTTCAAATTAATTTTTATTTAAGGAGGATTATTTAAAATTCTTAAATTTATTTGCAATTTTGGTTATATATATATATATATATATATATATATATAAATTTCTTTTTCATATTATTGTCTAAATCTTAAAATTGAATTTTCACCGTTTTAAAACATTTTCATCAAATTCGACCAAACATTTTGATATTTGAGCAAATAAAATAACATGGGATTGGGACGAAAAGATGAACCCTAAATTTTTTTTTAATAAAAAAAATCGAAAAAAATAAAAAGTAAGAAATGAAAAATATTACCAAACGACCCCTAAATTTGAACGTACTTAATTATACCTTGAATCGAAGAAGAGAGGTTGGTTGTTCAAAGGCCTTTCGGTTTAGTTTGTGATCTACAGTTAATCTTTTTTTCTCCAAGCATTTGCTCATTGTCCCGCTCGGTATGAATCTTTCTCCTCGTCATTTTCCTCATTAGCTTATTTGATAAGAATTAGGAGAAAAACAATTAAATGGGTTAAAATTTGAGTTGAATTTTCACGTTTCCACGTTCAACTTTCACAATTATTTTTAGATTTTGGATAATATAATATTCAACTATTTATTTCATTATCATTTTAAAAGTAAGGTTATATTAAAAAAAAATTTTAAATTTAAAATAAAAATTGAGACTGGAAATCGTGTGACAATGAACTATAATAATATATATTATTTATTGTAAATGAGTGTAAGATGGGCAGTGGCTTACTTTCCGGAGATTTGTCGCAGGTGGCGCCGCCTCCATCTCCGGCTTTTTGGCGAAACAGGAGCCGTCGGCCATCTCAACTTCCGGCAAATCCTCCTTCAAATCCAGCTTCGCCTTCCCATCGGCATCCGTCATGAGCAGATCCGCCAACGTCACTCTTCGG